GATCTGAAAAGTGGCTGCCGAGGCCCACGAGGTGGCCACTAATGGCCCGAAGTCAGCCTATGAAGGCCCATGCTGGCTTCTTCTGAGGGTCCAGCACCAGCCTCTAAAGTCTAAAGTCAGATGACAGATGACCCCACGCTGGTCACAGAGTGCTCCACACTGGCCTAAAAGGGCTCCACATTGTCTTCAGAGGGCCCCAAGCTAGTCTCGGTGGCCAATGGGCCTCAATCTGACCTAAGAAGGTCCCATGACGCTGGGCTTAAAAGACCCCACGCTGGACATAGACGGCCCCATGCTGGACATATAGGGTCCCACACTGGCCTTACAAGGCCCCACGCTGGCCTTAGAAGGCCCCACACTGGCCTTAGAAGATCCCACAATGGCCTTAGAAGGCCCCACGCTGGTCTTAGAGGGCTAAGCGCTGACTCCTTGGGGCTCTACACCAGCGTCAAAGGATCCCACGCTCGAGTCTAAGCTTATTTATGGCCGCCAAAGCGACCTCTGAGGGCCCACGCTAGCCTCTGGGGGCTCGGCCTTGGCCTCTGAGGGCCTATGAGGGCCATCAAATGGCGTTTTAAGATAGTTTGACGCAGTTTGACTTGCTGCTTGGGCCAGTACTTTGGATGAGGCCCTGAAGGTTGTTTCTCTTGGGACACTCAAGCAGGCACGTAGCCAGGATTTCGCCCAGGAGGGGGCCGCCTGCTCTCAAAGGGGCCCACTGGTCACCCGGATGCCGCCGTCAACCCAGACAGGGGCGTATCCAAAACCTTTCGATGAGGGGATTGGGCACAATGGGTCCGGTCCCCCTTGCAGACGGGTACCTCTGTCTGTCTGCCTGTCTGTCTGTCTGTCTTAGCCCTGAGAAAATGTGCAAAATTGGCAGATAAAAGTATTATTTTTTGCTTGAGAAGTGTGCATAAAATACACGGTATTTTATGAGGAAGTGAAGCGAACGAGCGCCTCAGAGTCACCTGCATTAGTCCCTCAGAGGTGTCGGTGAAAGGCCGTCAGATGCGCTGGTGTGGGGTCCTCACAGGCGCCGTTGTGAGGGCCTTAGGGCTTAGAGGCACTGGTGGGGGCCATCAATTAGGCGTGTGTGGGGCCCTGAAAGTTAATGGTGGCCCTTCATAGGCCGGCAAGGGACCCTCAGAGGTCGGTAAGAGGCCCTCAGAGTCGCTGGTAAGTGACCGTCAGATGCATAGGGCGCTGCAGTGCATAGGGCCCTCGGAGGCGCCGGTGTGGGGGCTCTCAGAGCCGCCGATGTAGGCCCTTAAGAGGCACTGGTGTGGGGCCCTTAGAGGTGGCAGTGGGGGCCTTCGCAGGCGCCGTTGTAAGGGCCCTCAGAAACACCAGTGTGGGCCGTGGGGCCATAGCAAACGGGTATGGGGCCTTTACAGCTGATCCCTTATTGGACGGCAAGAGCCCTCAGGGCCGGCAAGGTCCATCAGAACCTGGCGTGAGGCCCTTCTGGAGATAAGTGTGGCTACACAAGAGCCCATGGGGTGTTCTCACAAGCCCTGTGGTCTCCTCTTCAGTTGAAGCGATGCCAGCGCGGGCCCTCTGTCGCCAATTGGCACCGCAGGGCCTCTCGGGCGCGAGGGGACCCTAATCCCTATAACGGACACGTGCCCCCTCGCCCCTGGCCATACCATTGAATCTGAGTGATAAAGGGCCGTTCAGGTAATCAGGGGCCTCTCACGTGACCAGGGGCCTTACAATTGACCAGGGACTTTCAATTGACAAGGGGTCTTTCAATTGACCAGGGGTCTTTCAATTGACCAGGGGCCCACCAGGTGACCAGGGGACCCTCTGATAACCAGGGGACGGTTATACCAGGGGCTCCACGGGTAACTAAGGGCCTTTATGTGACTGCAGGGGCCCTTCATATAACCAGGTACTCCCCGGGTAAACATGGGCTCTTCAGGTGACGAGGGTTTCTTCAGATCACTGGCCAGGGGATCAGGTGCCCCTCAGGTAGCTAGGGGCCCCTGATTAGATAGATAACTAGGGGACCCTCATATACCAAGAGGCCCCACTGGTAACCAGGGGCCTCTCAGATAATCAGTGGCTCTCAGGCAATCACGGGCCCCTTAGGTAGTCAGGGGCCCCTCAGGTAAGCAGGGGCGCTCAGGAAACCAGGGGCCCCTCAGATAACCAGGGGCCCCTCAGATAACCAGGGCCCCTCAGGTAACCAGGGCCCCCGTAGCCAGGGCCCTTCAGGTAACCAGGAGTTCTTCAGATAACCGGGGACCAATCAGGTAACCAGGCCCCCTCAGATAACCAGGGGCCACTTAGGTAACCAGGGGCCACTCAGGTAACCAGGGCCCCTCAGATAACCAGGGACCCTCAGGTGACCAGGGGGACCGTCAGGTAACCAGGGCGTCCCTCAGGGCCCCCATGGCCCCCTTGTGTACATCATTGCACTCAAGTGACCCAAAGGGCCCACTTGCATGTTTGATGCCAAAGGGGGAGGCCATGGCCTCTTGGCCTCCCCCCTGGATACGCCACTGATAGCCCTGTACTGTGGAATGACCGGATTATGTGAAATAAATAAATAAATAAAAAGCGAAGATAACCAACAACTTGCATGAGTCGTTATATTCAATAAAAACCTGACCCTTATAAAACAAAAACAAGCGATTATAAGTTGGTAGCACAAAGGCCTATAACCATCAAATCGCAGTGCTGACTGTATGAGGGAGATATTACATACCAACTCCGGGCGGATCCTTCTCCGAGGTTCCGCCACTCCTGTGTGATACGACCGGCACCGGGGAGCCCATTCCGCCCCCATTCCGCCCACGCGGACAGCCCATTCCGCCCAGCCCACTTACTGGCGGAGTGGCGGTCCCTGGAGACCCCAGTCCGGGAGAGGGATGGTCGGCGCCGGCGGCAGTGACCCGGCTGACCCTAATGTCATATCGCCGCTCCCCCTGGGGACCGGCAGCCCACCCGGGTCACGTAGATCACCGGGAACGGCCCGTCGGACCGGGCCGTCGGACCGGGTCGGGCTCAGCTAACGTGGCACTGGTGATTTGAATGAGCGATATTTCACGACGCCAGGTGGCTGGTTAATGGACGGGCGCCATCAGCCGCCGCGCCGCCCCAACGAGGCCCACCACTCTTGTTCATGGAGCTGGTGTCTGGCGGGGTCGACAGCGGCCTGCTCGGCGGTGAAGGAAACACATTCCGGGAATGACTCACTGACAGCGGCCCCATTAGCTGTGAGACGCAGTGAGGCCCCCCTAAACCTGCAGTGTACATCCAGAGATAGCGAGACTACCGGCAGCGACTTTATGAAGCTATGCATATATAAAGCTCCGAGCTACGCGTTTATGCAAACGGAACCTCTCTGCGTTGGCGTGGTCGGCTAAGACGAAATGCCAATTAAAAAAAAAAAGAATACTGAAACTTTATATATGCAAATTACGATCACAGTAGTATGCAATGGTCATTGATAATGGAAAATGTTCCTCGAGCAATGTAAAATCGTTGCTTCATTTAAACAATAAACATAATAAAAATACAACTTTATAAAACGAAAAATAGAAGTAACTAATCTTAGCGGCCAAAGGCACACTTTCAAAAACAAACGCGGTATCGTTTGATATATGAAAGTCGTTTAGTATCTTATAAGTCGTTATTCAAAATCTACATAAGGCTAATCAACAACCTAAATCGAATGGCCTGAATGGCATGTAACAAAGGTGGAACTGTGACCCATTGTACTATAACCGCTAACCCAATTTACACCTGTTTGGTTTTTTGTTGTAGTTTTTGTTACACCTGTCCCGTGGCCCTGATCCCATTCAGCAAGAGCAGGTGTTCTATAGCACCTGTGACAACACTTCAGCTCCCTCTGTATCGTTCACAACTCAAACACTCGAACAATCGACCGAAGACCGCCACGGGTCCAAACACGTCCACACTCCGCAGCGGCGTCTCGAGTTTCAGCACACAGGCCCGGTGAGCTGTCAGGGCCGCGGCGGCCGTTCGACACTTTCCTAAATGGACTCTCCGACGCGTGCTTTGAGAGAAATTGAAGACAAACGGAGCCAAGTGGAGCTTTTACACTTTTCATTGGCACTTTGGTATCTAAGTAAACCTACAAATGTCTCTGAAAATATTTCCTTGGTTCCCTTCTCTATCTTCCAAAATGTATTGAAAATAATGGTCGATTATAAACCTACTTCAATGGTTCACTGAAAATTTCAGCTGGTTGACTTAGCTCATTTCTCATTAAAGCCACAACCGATTGACCGGTAGAGCCTGAACTTTCCGGCTGACAATGGTCCACCTGAAGCCCATTTGACAGAAGTGAACTCGCCTCGCCCACGCATACTATGACCTTTGACCCGGGACAACCCTGAGCCCGGTGGACATGTGTAATCCGATTTACAGAATTAGCTTGCCGGCAGCTCCACACTCCACATGCACCCTGCACAGCCACACATGGGTCACGCCGTCGGGGGAATGTGAGCTCGTAGTGAAGAATTACCTACGACAACTTCCGTGTAGTATGGCAATCTTAGCTCACGATCGTGCGACGGGCACCCAGTGTCCGTATTTAATGATCGATTGCTGCACAAATACGCTGTGATAACTGAGCTCGCACTCTTCAGAGGACATTAATGAGAAAAGATATGAGCCGGTAAATACATCTGGATCTACGCTACATGTTGGCATGTGGCACTACAGCGCTTTGGGTGATGGTTCAAGACTGTCCTTGTTGGCGATGTTGCAGTGCCCTGAGGATCGAATGACCCATCAGTAGTGATGCCCGCAAAGCCGAAGACCACAGAACCAATCGAAAGTGATGTGGCGGAGCTCCGAAGGCTGAAGGACGTATCTTCGGATGGGATGTTGGGCTGCTGAGTACCAAAGAAACTAGAAACCTCCGGTGGTGACAGTGCCGGCAGCCCCCTGCCCTCCTCCGCGAAGGACCTACTTATGGGTATTTACTATTTACAACAGTGCACCCCCTCTCCTCCCGGACCCACCGATGGTGGTGACCACGGTGGCCGAGAAGAAGAAGCTCTGGCCGAAGCTCCAGTTGGAGCCGGTGGAGATGTTCTTGGAGGCCGATACGCCGCGGTTGTTGGCGAGCACCACCTCCGTGATGAGGTCCTCCAGGGCCGACTCTGCCGGCAGAGGGACGCGTCAGAGCGGGCTGTGAATGAACCTCAACTGTGTGGAGGCTAGTGATGTCAATTACGGAAAATCGGAATATCGATACCAAACCAAATACCAACCAAACCGTAGAGAAATACCAAAAACCAAACCAACTTGGGAACATGAGGAAAATACCAATTTTTTACATATTTCTTAGCCTCTTAAACATTAGCGATGGTTCATGACACCAACAAAATACCGAACACATTAGGATTGAAATACCAAATACCGAGTTGGTATCGGTTTGGTATCGGTATACCAAAAAGTTGGTATCCGATTGACATCTCTAGTGGAGGCCCTCCAGTGAAGACCCAGAGCGGGATGACAGTATATCACATCTGTGGCGACTCCAGCGCCGGCGCGAGGATATGTAACGGAGCGGGCCTTAGATATCGCGTCGGCAGCTTAGGATACTCGGCACAGTTGTCAAGAAGTCATGTATATGCTTGACCATACTGGATGTGAGCAGCACAGTTAATTGTATGAAAGTGTATTATGAGAAGACCTTGTATACTGCCTACTGCTGGTGAACAAATTATTTTGCATTCTTCAAAGGCGTCATATTATTTCCTTCACTCCAAAGCAAACTGGAATATCATCCGATTTATATATTTTTCCAGTCGACCTCAAGTCGAGCAGACTTGTGGGAAAATAGCTGATGAGAAGACCCTAACATTGGAGATAGGTGCTAAGACCTCAAATCCAAAACGACGCTTTACCTTGACTTGATTCATATACAAAAGCAATGGCACTTCTCCTCCGTTAAAAAGAAGAGACCAACGACAGCGTACAGGAATGTGAAAGCGTATTCTTGAATGACTAACCATTTTTTGTACGTAGTAATAAAGCATCGGTATAGGTCGCGAAGCCTTTGAAAGCAGAAATTTAGCTTATAAAATCCCTGTCAGGTACATCTTACAGCTTCCCCTTTTTTTACAAACACTTAACAGGAAACTGCACGCTTGTCTTGCAGCTTGACTCGTTACTGTCAGTGAGTCTAAATAAACATTGAAAGTAGAGAGCTTCACCCTACAAATTGCGGTAACTTACCACTTCTGCAGATTTCTGCAGATTTATTGCCCACTCTATGAGTGTTTTCGCTCCCACTAATGGCAAGGCAAGCGATTTCCCAAATCAGTTTGATGTACTTGCTTGCAGTTACGTCAAAACTTTCCACATTTCGGACCTGAAAGTAGGTTTGTCCACCAATCGAGTGGAACAACGCATTGAAGCACTGATTCTGAGGCCGCCACTGAGGAAGCCAACTAGGAGCATAAACCGGTCGCCTGGCCAAGTTCCGTGGCCTAATCGGCCGTCCGAGATTTGTTCAGAGCTGTTGGTCGGGGTTGGGCGCGGCTACGTCTGCAGTCCTAAGGCCAGTGACTGCAGTCAGTGCGCTAACTTCAACTGAAACTCGGACTCTCCGCAGAGCCAGACGAGGGTGACAGAAGGGATAACTGTCCGTACAGCATTTCGGACAACGGCCCCACGACAAAGTATCACTCGTGCATAAGGAGTAAAGGGTAATTTAGGGCGGCGAGTGTGCGTTATGTGATTGAGTTAGCATTTGTCTTCAAGGGTCTTCAAGTTACGGGTCGAGGGAGGCTAGAAGTTGATGTTTTATGGTAAAGTTCAGCGTCGTGTGCTATGGTATGTTATGTATGTATTGCATAATGCATATCAAATGTGCCTGGACTGGAATATTGAAATTTGTGTAATTCACCTAATTCGTGCTATAGCATAGGTCGGAAATGAGAAAAATGTCATATCCTTTCCGTTGTCAATCTTACATCAAATCGCAACGAAAAAAATTTGCTTGCATCTTAAGCCCATAGCTCATTCATATCAGCATGTAACATCTTTAAAATAAACTTATAGGACCCGAAAGCTGATGGTTTGTGCACGATTCCCCATAATGACCCGCAGCAGTATTTATGGCCTTGCCCACAGCTAAGTACAGGTAATTAATTACCCACATTGTCCCTCGCGCTCCCTTCTTACATCCGACAGCTCTCTCCCTGCCACTCCCTCCCTCTCCCCTGCCGCTTCTCTCTCTCCCTGCCACTCCCTCCCTCTCCCTGCCGGTCCTCCCTCTCCCCCGCCGCTCTTCCCTCTCCCCTGCCGCTCCTCCCTCTCCCTTGTCGCTCCTCCCTCTCCCCTATCATTCCCTCCCTCTCCCTGCCGCTCCTCCCTCTCCCTGCCGCTCCTCCCTCTCCCTGCCGCCTCCCTCTCCCCTGCTACTCCCTCCCTCTCCCCTGCCGCTCCTTCCCTCTCCCCGTCGGACGCACCTGGCACACACTGATTATCCTCCAGGAACTGGCTGATGCGCTCGTTCAGTTGGCTCCGCAGTCTGTCCTCTGCGGGTTGCTCCAGAAACGAGAACACGGCGGCGCCGGCTGCCAGCCACGCCACGTATAGACACGTGCCCAACAGCAGCAGGCACGTGCTGCGCCGCAGGCACAAACAGCGGCGCACGTGCGCACGTGGCGCGCCCGAACGCGAGTCGTCCAGCGGCACGTAGTGACCCGTCGCCATCGAGAGCTGGTCGTGCATGGTACGGGAAGAGTCCGTCTGGGAGGTATGAAGTTTTAACTGCCGATGCCCTGAATCCTCTCCTAGTGAAGCAGCTCAACTTGAGGACACCACACCTGGTTAGGCGGAGTGAGACGGCATCCAACAGAGCCGTGCCGATCGGATCAGACTCGAGTGGCCCCTCGATTAGCACTCGGGTGTGACAGTCCTCCAATGGTTCTTGTGCATGCACGGAGTCACAGCAGCAATACACGGCCGGCCTGGGTCTCACCCGCCCGCCAACTAGAGCCTCTCAGGTGCTATCGTGTGGTCACTTGCAGATAACAGCGGGCTCTCAGAGCACACACACGACCAGCCGTTTTCGATGACGTCACTGAGGTCTCTGAGAATGACGTCACTGTTCGGTGCTCACTGCAAAGCTTCAGGCACTAAGCCTGGCCAATAACGCCGTCTTCACACGTCGTCACAGCAGTGAAGTTGCGCTTTCCTCAGAGCGCTATGGTAGAGGCGTTCCAGCCCTTCATTCACAGAAGCGCTCGGGCTCTTCACTGTTGAGGTGCCGGTGCCTACGGCTGAAGACCCTCACGTGCTACTGACGTGCGACACCGGCAGTGCTCCGCCCACAGACACTCGACACCCGACACCCGACCCGGGCAGTCCGTCTGTCCGTCTGTCTGTGTGTGTGCCGCTGTGTGTGTGTGCGGTCCCGCCGCGTCGACACCGTTTTTCCTCCGCGTGAGCCTGGACCGGACCGGTCACGTGACCTGCACCTGAGCCGGGTGATGGGTAACGGGTTACACTGGAGGCTTGGCATGGAGTTTCCGAGGCCTTATAACTTTCGAAGATAATTGGAATGAGGCCGAATGTAATATGGAAGGAAATGGATGCTCAGTAAAGAGACTTTCGTGTAAAATTTAAGTCACATCTCAAGCACTTTTTGTCGTTCCATCAACTATACTCTGTAGCCAATAAAACACGATTTCGTTCCCACCCGTTCCCGTTGCTCCACTAAGAACACAAGCAAACACAGAGTACAAAACACTGATAAGCTCACTATCGCGCCTAAAGAAACAGCCAAACACGGACACATGTCACAGTAAACCACACGGAGTGAGCGAAGCACTGCAAGAGTTCACGCAATATGCAAGGAAATATTAAGAAAATAGGCAATAAACTTTTCAGTTGCCTGGTGGAATATCAATTAAAACACCTTTCCTAAGAAGGTAAGTAAAAATGTTGAGGAATCCATTTCCATCAGCTGCATAAGCTTTGCATTTTGTATCGATGAAACCAGGGCACTAAAGATGTAACGTTACGGGAGACAAATTAAACACGTCAAAAAGGCAACTATAGCTACGTTTCCATGACACAATCTAAGCCGATTTTGAAAAAGGATTTGCTCCATCATAGCATTTAGGCGTAATTTGAAAATGTAAATATAGGATTAGGTGCTATAGTTCGTTTTTCTTAAGTTTGCCCCTCACTGTAAACGTCTTTTTGAACACAGCACGAGAATTGCTAGCTGAATTACTGAGAAAACTGGTTGGCGCACATTGTATTGGAGATATGAATAATATTTTCAAAATAAGTTTTGAACACCGACGATGTAACGTTAATGTTAAACGCCGTGCAATTTATTAATTAGTTCAGACATAATTCCTGAGAAGTCGTCTATCACTGTGGAGCTGTAGGTATTGGTAATTACGAGCTATGAGTCTGTGAAATAGTAAACAAATTTGATCAAATTGATCGTCTGTGAAATCTAGTGAAATCAATGTGCGCCAGCCAGTTGTCTCAGTAATTCAGCTAGCAATTCTCGTGCTGTGTTCAAAAAGACGTTTACAGTGAGGGGCAAGGGGGCAAACTTAAGAAAAACGAACTATAGCTAAAACCATATCTACGCGCATTTTTTGCATAAGGTAAATAGTTTCCGAGAAAAACGCACGTGAAATTTCGCTAAATCGATTTAGACGTGTCATGGAAACGTAGTGTATGTGGAGTTTGTCCGTGGCCGTATCCTGTTGTCACGTGGATTGTGGAATCTACACACTACGTAACCAATGCACGTCCAAGCCTAAATGATTTATTTTTGCCAGAAATGTTAAACTCCGGTTAAAATGAAATTCAAATATAAAGGGACTGACATCAAAACAGGGTCGGGAAATGCACGAATACTTTTAAAACACCTGATAAAATAATAGGTTCTTTTCATGTGATTATTCAAATGAATAAATTCCAACCTTATTGCTACATAACAATGACCTCACTTGAGGTCACGACTGACAGATTGCCGAATCAATCGTAAGAAACAGGTCATAGCTCACACTCCACAGGTTAATGGGTCATGGGTCACAAACACAGGTCATTGTGTCATGGGTCACAAACACAGGTCATCAGGTCAAGGGACACAGATACAGGTCATGGGTCACGGGTCACAAGCACACAGCTCACCGAGTCACAGGCTACCACGCCACATGCCACTACATCTCAGATTACTGAAACCACAAAGACACCGACACGACACAGCTCGGACCGCAAAACACCACCCTCACTTGCTACTGATCACCAGATCGCCCAAATTCCCTCAAAATTCAGGTCAACGGCCACTTCACGATATCACAGGCCACTAACCGCAGATCACCTCTGTCACCAATGCTCGCCACAATTCTCACCACAACTTAAATTACACAGCTCAAGAAATGTCAGGTCACTAAACCTCAAACCCCCGGTAACAGTAACCACCCCGCAGGTCACGACCGCACGCCGCACGGCGCACGGCTCTCCACCCCTCGGCTCACTGTCGCACGTGTCACCTCACACTAAACACACACAGATTCTCCTACTATGCATTTCAGACCCCATGAGACCCTGCTTTTCGGCAAAAATTTCTTCAATTTTTGTCCAATTAGCTTGAAATTTTGACATTAGATATTTCAGCTCAAGCGCCAATTTTCATCAATATGGTCTCTTAACAAAATATCAATATTTAGAGCACTTATCATAGGCTCGTAATGCTAATAAGATTTTGCACCCGGATAGAGGCTCGTTCGCTACCGCAGCGGATTGGATGGGAGCGCTGGCCAATCACGTTGCGCCGGGCCCAACTAAACTCCGCCCACTGGCCGTGACCGCGCTGGGTCTATGCCGGCTCAGTCGGCGGCAGCACCGCGGGGAGGTCGCACGGGGTCCGCGCGCTGGAAACATGCATGGAATCGACAGGAAGTGCCTGAGCGAAAGTTTGCTCTTCATTTGTGGGAGTTGGTAACCGCTTCTCTCTTTTTGGTATATTAGGTAACACCGATCCAGCTCAGAATATGAAGAATAATCATAATGAGGATATCAACCTCCCCAGAACCAACCTTAAATAGAGAGCTGAGTCATGCACTATCTGAATATCTGAATGAATGCACATTCTGGCGCTTATCTCATGGTCAGGTCGTGCCATTGTTCTGTCACCCATGGCATGCGATGCCCCTGCACTACTCGAAAATATCGATATTGTTGCTTCAATCGCTGCGTTGCGTTGTCGTTGCGTCAATCGCTGTTTCTGAAGACGCTGTTATACCTATGCAGAAAGCAACGGAGTAAGGATGATGAGTTGCGAGCACTTCCGATTGCCTAAGACGTCGCTCTAAGAGCTGTGTTCGTAATTCGGGAAGCGTTGAGAAGGGAGCAGAAAGTGATGTGCGATTTATTGCGCATGGTAGAAATGTGACATCAGAATAAGGGAAACAAGCGCATTGGCTATAGATGGCTATAGTAAAGAAATCGCGTCTTTTTGTCAAACTAAAGTAACTTTTCAAGCTCTCCAATAATGAGGCAGTAGGCTACTTACTTACAGGTATTTTAATTATTTGTAGTTCAACACGAAATCCTGGGATCAAGTCAGTCCGGTGACCTCAAACTAGCCAATTATAAAATGGGTTAGTTCTGAAGGTGTTCATGTTGCACCGCAATCGCATGAATCCATCTCAAGGATACGCATAAGCATAATATATTTCATATTGCAACCACATTTCTTAAATGCTACGGTGTAGGTAAATGTTTATCATGTCTTGCAAATTTGACGTAAGCTGACCGACGTCTTGCATCAGTTCACAGTCAATTGACATCAACGTTTTTTTAATGACGTTAAATCAAGCAAAAATGCAGTCACTAGCCCTGAACTTACTGAACTTGTAACTTACGCAATACCCATATCTTTATTGATTGACATGGTGTAGGCTAATTTGCGATAAATGCCATAACGAAGGCTAGTGTGCTAATTACGAGCGTTAGTTTCTGCTGTATCGTTATTACTGCAACGGCGACCGCAAGGAAGCCACGTCCAATGCGAGCCGCCCCGGTCCGGCATACGGCGTTGGGTCCGGCAGCTACTGCCCCGTCGGCTCCACGCATCCGACTGACCGGCCAAGGTCACCGCCCGTCCGCCGTGAGGGCGGAGCTTAATGGTCACGTGCCTGTGACGTCACACCTACGTACGGATAGCCTCTACTCCACTGACGGATTTACGGAGCTGATTTTAACATTACGAGGCAACGACAAGTACCCTAACAATTGATATTTTGTTAAAAGACCATATTAGCGAAAATTGGCGCTTGAGCTGAAATGTGCTTTGCGAAAATTTCAAGCCAATTGGATAAAGATTAAATAAATTATCGCCAAAAAACAGGGTCTCATGGGGTCTGAAATGCATAGTAGTCATCCACCCAACCACAGCTGATAGATGTACCGATCTGCTGATCGCCCCGGCACCTGTGATAGCCGTTCCGTGCGCGCACCTGTGACCGAGCCCGGTAGGCGCTCCGCCAGACGGCCGACCGAGCCGCGGCCGCAGTCAGCTGACTGCTGTGCCCCCGGGCGAGGACGCCACTGCCCCGCCGGACCGGTCCAGTGGCCGGCCAGGAAGCGGTAGCATTCGGGGCGCGGCCCGCCCGCCACTTCGTAGATCGGGCATTCGCAGAATGTTGGATGTTGTAAACAAAAATGCAGCCACTGTGATCATTACAACCGTCAGCTAGGTAATAAGTAAATCAGGAATTAGATTACAAAGAGCGTTACAAAGAGCAATGAAATGAGCATTGAGCAGAAATATAATAAGGGCGTAGGAAATTTGTTGGATTGAATTAGACCGTCGAGATGGGAGTGTGTCTGTATATGGCGGCTTAGATGGCGAAAAAGGCTATTCTAATTAGTCCTCGGTTTGAAAACCTTGATATTTTTAGAAGCGATGCTTTTAAACTAGCTTTTCGTTTCACTTAAATCATAATCGAGGTATGATCCACTTGCCATTAGATTTGAGTAACGCTTGCGACCAGGGCGCTTGGAATAGATATGTTCCATGAAGTCAAACAAATTAGCTTTGACGTCAAGTTCATTTTCCTAGGACAGGTTAGCATGTTAGCCTCAATTGTGGCTCACTCGGAATCGTTTGTTACATAACTGCACAAATGCCGAAAGCCTTGGGGGAATGCAGGGAGTCTGTTCAATCCTGACGGTGCTGCAGGTATAGCTGCGGGGTAGGTGGTTCATAGCCAGTAGAACCGGAACGACTTCTGACTACTTACCAAGTCACCTGACTTGCTTAACTAGTACTGAGCTAACTCAACGTGCAAGACGCTTCCCGGTCATTTTCTTACTGTATTGTGCGCATTACATCCATTTCCCAAAACAGCATTCAGTGAGAATTCAGTAAACACTAGCATTAATTATGAGGGACAGAACAAAGGTCAACCTGCACTCACAGGAAACGAGTAACAGAAGAGCTCACGTCATGGAATGACCCGATGAGAAGCCTCAGCAGTAGCTCAGACCGAGCCATGATGAGCGCTGGCAGCTTCGACCGGCTCCTAATTACCCCGCACGGCTCCGCCGGAGCGGACACGGGGAAATCCGGCTCCCGGGAGCAGCGGGAGCGCGCATCATTACCCGCGCCACTATCGAAAACGCATCAGAACAATACATCACTGGCAACTAAATGTGACGATAAGCGGTGCCCGAGATTAATAGCGTCCAGTGTTCATGGGCAGTCTTAAATTTAAGACCATGTGTGAGGTTACCAATAAGGCACGACTAACGCCCGTCAAATGGAAATAAATGGTCAACGGCTAGCAGGGCTTCGTTTCG